CTTGGAATGTCATCAGTTGAATCAATACGAGTTTGAAGTCAAGGGAGTGCACTCTGACCATGTTGTTAACCTTTCAAATAAAACTTGCACCTGCCAAGTGTTTGACAATGATATGATACCTTGCGTGCATGCACTCGCTTGTTCAGAACGCACAGGCATAGATTGTTATAGCCTGTGTAGTAAATTATACACAAAGGAATACATGTATATCGCATACGCGGAAACAATCTACCCCGTGCCACATGAAGATGACTGGGATGCCGATGGAATGGAGCTCTTAGAAGTCAAACCCCCTATATTGAACAAGCAAAGAGAAAGGCCAACAACGAAGAGATTTCCATCGGACGGCGAGGCACGAAAAAAAATATAAATTGACATGTTCTGGTTGCCAAAGAAAAGGGCATACAGTACGGACATGCGCAAAGAGACCTCGTAAAGACACATCTACGACAAATGACTTGAATAATATTGATTGCATGTAATTGTATTCGAAGAGAGGTCTAAAGGTTTCGAATTAAAATAAATTCTATTATTTCAATTAAAAATAATTCTATTGCAGTCGAATTTATCAAATTGATTGTGTAAAATATTGGTAATTTTTTAATATGACTAATATTTGAATTTTGAATGTGTAAAATATGCGTGGACGGTTGGGGAAATACGTTGCAATTAGGACGTTTTATATACTCCGTATATTTTAATAATAATAATAATAATAATAATAATAATAATAATTCGATCATTTCGACTACATTTGGAACGTATTCGACTGCATGTTATGCACATAGGAGGGTTTGATTAACAATAATAATAATAATAATAATAATAATAATAATAATAATAATAAGTAGTTGGGGAAATTCAAATATGGTTTGAAATCTTTGAATGCATTTAGGACGGTACATGAGTAGTTGGGGAAATTCAAATATGGTTTGAAAGCATTTAAGAGGTTTTGAATGCATTTAGGACGTTTAATGAGTAGTTGGGGAAATACATTGCATTTAGGACATTTTATATACTCCGTATATATTAGTGCTATATATACTAGTGCAATTGCTTATATTTATTCACTAAAACCCCTATTAAAATGCCAAAAACTTTCGTCATATATCTGGAGGAAGAGGATAATGCTCGAAACAAATTTCTTGAAGATCACTTCCCATTGGTACTCCAATATACTTTAAGTCAACATAATACCAAAGGGAAGTGATCTTCAAGAAATTTCTTTCCGAGCATTCGCGTCATATTATGCTTTGAACTACGTATTCAACTCCCAAGCAGCTCAGGTCACTGATAAGGGTAAAGTCCATCAATGAGTCAAATTCTATTTGGTAGTGGTCTAATAAAATGTAACATATGAATTTATTGTTTTGAAACACTATTTAATGATTTGTAATAAAAAAGGTGCATGAAAAGGTCTATTTGTTTAATTTCGGATGTTCTTATGCTTTTTCTGCAAAACTCGTTAAGTGCCAATAAGATAAAACTAAAAAATTCATAGTAAGTGCCAATAACATATCAAAAAAAGTCTAAGTAATGATTTGTAAAAAATTACCCTATGATTTGTAAAACATTACCTTAAATATTCAACTTATATCCAAAAATTTATTATTTTGAAAGACCATTTAATGATTTGTAATAAAAAAAGTAAATGAAAAGGTCTATTTGGAAAGGGTCGAAATTGCGTGAAACACCAACTCAATCTAAAAATTGCGAGTGGTCAAATATGGTCACAAAGGTAAAGAACTTAACAGAAAAAAGAGTTGTACATACACATTAAATCCCAAGGCACGCATACCTGGAAAAGATCAGATAATGATAATGTTCATTAAATAACAATCAATTAATTTTTTGTTTACCGTCTGTGATGACGGTAAACTCCCACCATAAAGGTGTTGTTCCCCACCGGCCTCATCACAAGCTTGTCCCCAACATGCAAACCATTCGAATCAACAAAGTAACACCACATTCTCTTCAGGAACCCATCACCAATACAATCAACCTTGAGTGTGCAGACCACGGGCTGTATGTTGGGTCCTATGAGAGTGACATCTGTTTTTCCCTCTACAAAGCCATTTGCTTCGCAAAATTCGTCACTTAAGGGCTGAGACAATAACGGATTAAAAGTCATTAATTGATGGAGGAGAATACACCATGTATTCCAAACAAAAATTTTGTGTTTGGTCAAATTTGGTCAAAATAGTCAAATACGTCGAATTGGGTCGAATTTGGTCAAAAAACGTCAAATACGTTGAATTAGGTCGAATTTGGTCAAAAAGGTCAAAAAGATCAGATAATGATATTGTTCATTAAAAATGATATTTTAAAAGCATACCAGCTTCTCGTCCCGAAAGTGCGATTCTTCTAACTTGCAAACAAAGACGTCATCATCATCATCTGTAACATCATCTTTATCTGATAATTGCAAATCACCGCATACATTACAGTTAGAATTAGAAGGAATTCGGGGAGGGCGGGTAAAATATACCATATTTCAAAGTCTTACCAGAATCATAATCAGGAATTCTTATTGGGTAGTCAACTTCTGAACCAAGGGTCGAAATCACAATGGCTATGTATGCTGCCTCTGATAATTTTTTGAACAGAATATGCCAAAGATTTCGGTAGTAGTGGTCATAGAGAAAGTATCTCCATCCATTCTCGGCAGCGAATCGATGCTTGCCGTCATCTCCAAGAACAACTCGGACTGGATAGCACCCAATCCGAGTGTATATATCCAATCTCTCCTCCCGTGGATGATAGCGAGAAGGAATGACCTGTAAATCATGAAATCGAGATTAAAGCCAAGCATGCATGTGTTAGTCATATGCATTCAAATGAAATCTTACCGTGCCGGTATAAGCATCCCTTTTGATGACCACAACGAAATCTGATTGCGGCATTTTTACTCCCAGCGGGTTGGAGAGTGTTCGTGAGGGTATAAAGAGAGGGAGTCGCAGTCGAAGCGTTGGAAGCGGTGGAAGCGGCGGAAGCGAAGCGACGAGAAAAGAAGAAGAAGAAGAAGAAGAAGAAGAAGAAGATAAAGGTTGGAATTTATGAGAAATTTTGACTTTTCAATTCTCATCTGACATAAATGTGGCGTGGGACTCAAAGAAAATTATTCCGTACAAAATTTCTTCTATATTTAACAAAATTTTGTCTAATTTTGTCTTTGTCGTATCTCTAATTTTGTACATTTTGGAGAAATACGGAACCGTACTACATTCCCAATGTTGAATGTAATTTGGACAAGTAGGACCATTACTGTGCGCTGATCAATATTGTAGTGGAAAAGTACTCTTGGTGGGGGGACCTTGTTTCTAGATTTTTTATATATTTTTATTTTTAGATTTTATTTCAATATTTCTAGATATTATTATTTTTTCTATTTTTTTATAATACTCTTATAAAAAAATTCTTAACACCAACAGGTACGACTTTGCTACAGTTACGGTCCGAAATTAATTCTTAACACCAACAGATACGACTTTGCTACAGTTATCCTCTTAACTGGACTGCTACGTCCACTACGGTCCGAAATTAATTCTTAACACCAACAGGTACGACCTTGCTACAGTTAAACTCTTAACTGGACTGCTACATCCACTACGGTCCGAAATCAATTCTTAACACCAACAGGTACGACCTTGCTACAGTTAAACTCTTAACTGGACTGCTACGTCCACTACGGTCCGAAATTAATTCTTAACACCAACAGGTACGACTTTGCTACAGTTATCCTCTTAACTGGACTACTACGTCCACTACGGTCCAAACTTAGTTTTTAACACCAACAGGTACGACCTTGCTACAGTTAAACTCTTAACTGGACTGCTACATCCACTACGGTCCGAAATCAATTCTTAACACCAACAGGTACAACCTTGCTACGGTTAAACTCTTAACTGGACTGCTACGTCCAATACGGTCCGAAATTAATTTTTAACACCAACAGGTACGACCTTGCTACAGTTAAACTCTTAACTGGACTGCTACATCAACTACGGTCCGAAATGAATTCTTAACACCAACAGGTACGACCTTGCTACAGTTAAACTTTTAACTGGACTGCTACGTCCACTACGGTCCGAAATTAATTTTTAACACCAACAGGTACTCTTAACTGGATTGCTACATCTACTACATTTTCCCGTCCCGCCTTTTCATGAAATGTCGGACTAAATTTTCCCGTCCCGCCTATTCATGAATTGGCGGGACACTTCTAAAAATTCCCGTCTATTACCATTTTCGTCCCTTTCCGCGTTGCTCGGCCTATATAAATACGCAACTATGTTTAGGGTTTTTCCAATCTTCTGTTCCGTATTGCCTGCGAAAATAAAAAAGATCATTATGTTCGATTTCACAGTAATCCTCGAGCATGATCCGAAGTTCAAAGAGCGATTGGTTTGTTCATACTTTTTTCATTATATTTTCTTAATTTTTTTAAAGTTATATTTTATAACTCACAAATTCATTGGATCTTTTGTAGGCGCTACCCCCACATGTTCAATTTTGTTTCCAGGATAACACAGTTGTGACTCTCCATTCCAAACTAGCGCCATACACTTTTGAAGTAAAGGTTCAAGCATGCAGCCATGGCAATATGTTCTTTAGGGAATCATGGCCAGCGTTTGTTGAGAATCACGGCCTAAATGAGAGTCATGTCCTGTTTTTTCAACATTTTGGTGATTGTGATTTTCTCATCCATATCCTGAAATACGCATAAGGGTATTTTTATGCGTATTTGAAGTTTGATTTTATGTATTTTTTAATAAAAACTTATTATATTAATATTCAGATTATTATTCAACTTTCACTTCGCACCATAATTTCCTCTCACTGCTCTTTTAATAATAAACTTCCATTAGTGATCCATGTAAAAAGGGTAATAAAAGATGATTTGACCGCTCTTTATCTACCCGAATTGAATGCAAACCGCTCACACATATCTTCTTCCATTTTAATTTTTAACTAATTACTGTGAAAAGTCCATCCGAAATGTGGTCAAATATTAGTCGTGACAGTCGAAGTTAATCGTTTTGGATATTTCTTGATCTCAACGGCCCTCTCTATTATTATTATTATCATCATTATCATTATCATCATCATCGTTATTATTAATGAACGAAATTACATCTCATTTAACTTCTTGAGCTCTTAGAAATTAACGAGAGTAATAAAAGCTGATTTGACCGCTCTTTATCTAC